AATTGCAGCTGCAACATTCTCAGGAAAGTTGTGCAAGGCCAGGGTAGGCAAGGAAAAGTGAGCGATCTGCAAAACTGGTTTACTCAAGGCTTGCTACATGAATGTTTAGAAAGTCGGCAGCACAGGGGCAGACGAGTGGAGAGGCAGCCCACAAATGATGAATAGCTTTCTGCTACTCAGACAGTTTTAAACAACTGGTGCACGTGTGTGTGCACACACACAGAACAAGCCCCCAGCACGGGATCAAGCGATTCTTCTTGTTTTCTGCGTGATGCTTTACAAACAGCCAGTAGGGACAGCATCTGAATTTAATGCTCTTAAAGAAATAACTGCAGAGCAGACAAAGCTACCAACAATGCTCAGCCATTGTTTATTTTCTGTGCCACGGTTTTGCTCTGGAACATCTGCAGGGAACAGTATACAACCAGTTCCAGATTGCTAGTCATTGGAGTGAGTGGGCTGTCTGTAGACACCTTGAAGAAGTATGACACCTTGAAGAAGCTGTGAAATTCCAGGAAGGAGGGAATCCAGGAAGGAGAGAACTGAGTGTGTTGAGTCTCTCCTAGCAGAAGATCCTCATTGATCCACAATGGGTTTCCAAGGGGTAACTGTTTGTGTGTGCGCAAGAGCAGATATCTGAATTGACCAACACAGCCCCATATTGCCACCTTTTCTCTTCTGATCAAGCGTACACCATCTAGGAGAACTTCTAAAAGGCTCTTGGGGAAAAGTAATTTAGGAGGAGTTGGTCCTCTGATCTCCTTACAATTTCCCCCCTGTATTCTGTTCAGGTTGGAACCTTCCCAAGGGTTTTGGAAAGAAGCTTCTCAAGGGTTTTGGAAAGAAGCTGGATAAATGCTATTCTATTCCTCTTCAGGTGCCACCGTTGGAATTGGTCTTCCAATCAGTTAACATTTGCCTGCAATTGCATGACAGAATCTATGAATGTTCATCTTCAGAATGGAAGGTTGTTGCTGGGTTGGTTGGTGAGAGTCCATACATTCTAAATCATCCTTCTCCAATCTGATGCCCTACAGATGTTTTGGACTATAACTCCTATCCCCAACTTGCGTCTCCTGTGGCCATGCATGATGGGAGTTGTAGCCCAATAACATCTGGAGGACCCCAGCTTTTGGAATTCTGCTCTAAACTGTCTAGAATGGGTACCCATCTTAAAAGGAACTAGTAAGAAGAAAAGAGTATCTTTCATCATGTGAACCACAGACACACCCATTTACATGCATACTCACATAAAATTAGAGGGATTGTGATTTTAGATCAGAGGGAAGCTTCCAGGCATAATTGTGAGTCCTCCCTTCATCTCTCATCTTAGAAATTAACCACAATCCAGAGGATCTGTTTAATCAAAGATCCCTGGAAATGTTTCAGAATTTGAACTGAGAAGTTTGCCAGCAAGTGGTTCCTTTCCTCCCTTTCTATTTTTGGAAAATGTTCCACAGATCTTTGATCTATGAGGCTCTCCTCCTGTTCCTAGAGGAGATTGCAGAAAACAGCAGAAAAATTAAAAAAAAAATAAGCCAACCTCCCTGATATCTGGGTCAACTGGGTCTGAGCAGCAACTTTCAACCACTTACTGCAGCCCCTACTCACCTTGGTCGGAAACATATTCTTTAATAATATACCATGCTCTCTTGGTAAATTCAGACAACAAGTTCTGCATTCCTCATTTTCCTATCTGAAGACGGTCAGAGCATGATTGCCACCATAGCAACCACACTTTCGAAAACTCTGGTTGGAAAGCAAAACTCCTGCATATTTGGGGCCAAATCTGAATTTGAGCCAGAGATGATTGCAGTGCCTGTAAAATAAGGAAGTGTGCAGAACAAATACATCTGGAATTATGGGCCATGAGAGCATATGTGGCTGCCTTTGTCAGAGTATTGGTCCAACTAACTCTGAACCAACAACTGATTGAAACTCTGATCTAGAAACTCAGGCCTTGCTACCTGAGATCCTCCAGATTAAGATACCTGCAACTGAATCTGAGATCCTGTGCATTCAAAGGATGCACTTCACTGCTGGGAGTTGGCTCCTTCACTGGTTCAACAAAGCTTGTAGTGGGCAGGCTTGAGTCTCAGAACATGACTTAAGCCTTGGGGAGATCTGTTCAGGAGACTTTCCATTGGGATTCCCAACACTTAATGGACATAAGGATATATCTTTGTGCTACTTCACACACTGCAATTTCCTAAAACCACTTCCCTATGGAGCAAATGTGTGAAACTTGCAGGGAACTCAGCATGTGCGAATGACGCAACATGTGTCTGACCTGCTGTGGATATGTGCATTGGCTGGCTTCAACTTGTGCACAACACAGAATAATAGGTTCATTGTAGAGTTGGAAGCAGCCACAAGAGTCATCTAGTCCAATCCCCAGCAATGCAGGAATCTTGTTGTCCAACATGGGGCTTGAACACACAACCCTGGAATTAAGTCTCATGTTCTACCAACTGAGCAATCCCACAAGCTTTAAAATGTGTACACAGTGAAGGTACCCCACATGCAAGTGTACCCCATGCATGCAAAGTGAATCCAGGGCTGCCAGGTGTGTGTGACAATTTCTTTACACCCTGACTTCATGCACTTTACTACATGAAAGCATTACCCCATGTCGGATTTTGTAATGTTTGAATGTGGCCCTGGGTGTGTGACTTTTGAAAGATTCAGATGCACTCATGCAACTAATCCAACCTTCTGTGACCATGAATGTATGTTTCTGGATCTGCATGTGTCCACTCAGCTAATGTACACAATTTCAGAACTAGTATGGGCTGCACAACAGCTGCTTCAATCTTTGAAGGAGTGGTATGTATGTGTGTGTGTTTGTATGAAAGACATGGGGGGTGCCTTCTGCAAAACTACTCCCTGGACCTCTAGTTGTTCCTCAGAGTGTCAACAGCCTTGCCCTTTGCTGGGAAAACAAACCTTTAAGTGGGGCACACAAGGTCTGCAGCCAAAAGCAAGAAGACGGCCAGCTGGCAGCTGCTATGAATCACAGAATCATAGAATTGTAGGGTCCAACTCCCTGCAATGCAGGAATATGGTAAAGGTAAAGGTAAATGACCCCTGGACAGTTAAATCCAGTCAAAGGCAACTATGGAGTTGCAGCGCTCATCTCGCTTTAGGCTGAGGGAGCCAGTGTTTGTCCACATGTGGCCAGCATGACTAAACCACTTCTGGCACAATAGAAAACCATGACGGAAACCAGAGCGCATGGAAACGCTGTTTACCTTCCTGCTGCAGTGGTACCTATTTATCTACTTGCATTGGCCTGCTTTTGAACTGTTAGGATGGCAGGAGCTGGGACAGAGCAACAGGAGCTCACCTGGATGCGCAGATTCGAACTGTCGACCTTCTGATCGGCAAGCCCAAGAGGCTCAGTCGCTTAGACCACAGCGCCACCCACATCCCCTCCCCTTTTTTACCTGCAGGAATATACAGCTGCCCCATACCAGGATCAAACCTCCAACCTAGGCATTATCAGCATCATCCTCTAACCAAATGAGGCTGATGAGCTCCATAGACAGTTCTTGCTTCACAAAACCCAAGTCTTGTAGCGCCGTAAATATTTGCCATTTATTACTTTCACACACTAGACACCACTTCATCAGTTGCTTCAAAAGTTCTGCATTTATCGCACTGAATGCAGGTCTAGTTACATGCGCCGAGGGGAGAGGGGCACTCCAAGCCCACCATCGACATGTGCACCAATGCATTGCGCATGGCGTGTTGCCAACAGAGACCCTGCGCATGGCATCCTGGAGAGATCATGCATTGTGCGAGCGATTATTTGCATGACCATTCCTAGCGCAACCTGTAGTGCGTCAAGCAGCCTCAGAAGTCCTTTGAGGCGGGGGAGTTGCTTGCATCCCCTCACTCCAATTGCCCTCTCTTACGCTTCTCCTCTCGCAAGTGCACCGCCTGAGAGGACATCCAGGGGGCGCGTTTCCACCACGCGCCCGGTCAGTTTCACACACCAGGAGCAAAAGTTGCGAGAAAGAAGAGACACTCACCATCTCTCCGCAGGTTCGAAGCGCGCAAGGCTCGGATAGATCCGCTCTGGGCGCCGGCGCTGGAGCCCTGTCGGTTGCAAAAGCTGGCGCAGATCGCAACGTAAAAGAGGAGATGCTCAAGCGGTTGCATTGGGACGCCTTGCTGCTTAGCACAAAGTCTTTACTTTTTAAAAAAGTGAGGACGGATTCCTCTTCCAAATGGAATATCTCCCTGTTCGCGACGCTTTTAAAGCCTTCCCTTTGTCCCCTCCCGAGCTGACTCTCCAAACTCAGCCCCGATGATGTCCAACATGAATGAACTCCCCCCTCCCCGCTTCCTCGCCCTCCTCCCCTCTAAAGTGGGTGGCTGGCTGGCTGGCTGCAGGGACGATGAGGTGGGAAACCTCTTTGCCAAGTTACAACAGTTAAGAGAGGGAGGCGGGCAGACGGACAGGTTGCCTTCCTCCGCCAGCCCTCCAGGCTTCCTGTGCACCACCGGCAGCTCCGCTTAAGCAGCGGGGGCGGGAAGTGATCCTGCCGAGGGATCTGGCTCCGGAGACTCTGCAGGGGGTGGGGTGGGGCTGCTTCATCCAGCTGCAGGCTCGCAACGCCCCCCTCGCCGTCGCCAGGGTGGATAGCGCCCCCCGTCCCGCGCCTGAGCTGCGCGCCAGGCTCTGCCCGATCCGGCGGGGAGCGCTCAGAATCCGGCGAGGGGGTCTCTCTTCCCGCTCGGGCAACCGAGCATCGCCGCTCGGGGGGCCGGAGGCGCTAGGCGAGGTGGTCTGGAGGAGCGATCGCGAGCTTTTGGCTGGCTGGCTCGCTTTCTTTTCTTTTTTTGCGCGCGGAAGGGAAACGCGCCGGAGACGGCGCCCCAGGGAGGAAAGGAGGTGGCGGCGGCGGCCCCGGCGCCTCTGGCCACTGGGGCAAGGGAGGCGGCGGAGCAGCCGGACGGGGAGGAGGGAAGCTGTCTGCTTTCAGAGCAAATCTACCCAGGTGAGATGTCTCAGTTGGTAGAGCATGAAACTCTTAATCCCAAGGTTCGTGAGTTTGAGTCCCAGCTTGGGCAAAAGATTTCTGCATCGCAGGGAGCTGGACTAAATGACTCTTGTGGTCCCTTCCAACTCTACAATTCTATGATTCTAAATCAGAACAAATGTCCAATAGAAAACAGATAATATAGCCTAACTTCTGTGCAAGCAAATCAGGATGAATGTTCAAATAAACACGTCATCTGGAGGGGTCCAAAGTTTCATTGATGCATATGATATTATTAGACCAGATGGACATGGGAGACCAAATTACAAGAGGGCTAAAAGCAATTTATGAACAACAAGAAGCAAATATAATAATAAATAATGACACGACTGATTATTTTAAAATACAGAAGGGCACCAGACAAGGGTGCCCACTTTCACCATTATTATTCATTTTGATTTTGGAAATATTAAATCAAGAAATCAGACTGGATCAAGAAATAAATGGTACTTAACTCTGGTAAAATTGGCTAAAATTTACAAATTAAAATCGAATACCTGTTGGAGATGTAAAAAAGAAATAGGAACAATGTTTCACATGTGGTGGGAATGCTGACCTATTAAACAATTCTGGAACGAAATTTACGAAGAACTCAAAAAGATGTTTAAAATATCTTTCAGTAAAAAACCGGAGGCATTCCTTTTAGGTTTAATTACAAATGATATTCCCGAAAATCAAAGGAAAGTATTCCTTTATGCAACAACAGCTGCCAGGATGCTTATAGCAAAAAACTGGAAAGGGAGGAAAATTCCATCAGTGAAAGATTGGCAAATTAAATTTTGTGAATACATAAATCTGGCAAGACTCACAGCATTCATAAGGGGACAATCGGACCAGAAATTATTAAAAGAATGGGGTTGTGCTAAAGAGTATATGAAAAAACATTGTTCTGGAGTAAGTATATTGGTATGTAATGAATGATGCTTTACAGGGTTAAAGAAAAAAAAATGGTGAAAAAAAAAAAGTACAAAGATGGAAGTAATCTAACCAGACACAACAATATAGTAAGAGTAAATTTTTTGAGGTCTTAGAACAAAGAAAGGAAGTCAATATGTGTAAATGTACGTAATGATATGGTTTTTTTCTGTAGATGTGTGTTTTTTCGTTTTTGTTTAGTTTTGTTTTGTCTCCTTTGGTTTTTTTTTCCTTTTTCTTTTCTGTTTTTTTTTTTGTATGTTCCGGTTTGTTTGTTTGTATAGTATTATTTTGGATTCAATGTTTGTAATTTTTGTTATGATCCTGCATTGAAAATAAATAAATAAACTAATAAAAAAAACAAAAAACAACAACAGATAATATAGCCTAACTTCTGTGCAAGCAAATCAGGATGAATGTTCAAATAAACACGTCGTCTGGAGGGGTCCAAAGTTTCACTGATGCATATGATCACTTGTACTTGCAATAGATCTGGGCTAAAGTATTTACTGAAAAGCAAAAAAAGGATAAGTGATCAGAAAGTCTGATACTTGGGTATTTTCATATTATGAAGTTCTTGGATTCCTCCCCCCGCCCCCCACAGCCACTGCCTTCCTAGCCAATTACAGTACCAGCTTGAGGGATGAAAGGACAGATTTCAAAGGCTGAGAGTGCCAAATATCCCAGAACCAGAAGAGCAAAGGGATAAAGTGAACTCCGAGGATGACAGCTGTTGGAAGGAAGCCAGTCACATAAAGATGCTGGCCCCGGAATACCAGAAGCGACTGGCATGCGTCCCAAATCAATTAAGGAAGATTACTGCAGCATAGGCAATATACTTGTCTCCCACAGCAGAAAATGTAGATAGCAAAGTTAAAAAGCGAAGAGCAATGTTAACTAATGAAATCAAGAAAGGAAACCTATGGATATTTGAATTGCAAAATTAGGTACGGTGGATTAATTTTTTATTTTTTTTAAGGCAGTAGGCTATGAAATTCTCACACAAATTATAGGGCTGGTACATACTGGAAAGATTGGATTCGCAGATCATATAGACAGATTTATATTGCTCCAAATCTTATATGATTTCTCTCAAGGGAAAACCATTAAGCTGTGCAGTACTGTCAGCAACCATGCAGGTCAACACCTGGGTGCATTTTTTTAAATAAAAAAAGCTAAAGAAAAAGATTGAATAGAAACGGTTTTTTAAAAAAGTAAGCAAAGGGAAAACAGTATTCCCAAGTGCCTGCTCTGATTTATGCCCCAGCCTCATAACATCCAGATGTTTTGGCCAACAATCTAGGAACATAGGAAGCTGTCTTTTAACGAGTGAGATTGTTGGGTCCATCTAATTCAGTATCATCCACACTAACTGTCAGTGGTTCTCCATCTTTCAGGCAGGAGTCTCTCCCACCCTACCTGGAGGTGCTGGAGATTAACCTGGCACCTTCTGCGTCCAAGTCAGATGCTCTACTACTTCAAGCATCCCTGACCACCAGCCATTCTGGCCAGAGCTAATGGGTCCTGGAGCCCAAAACATTTGTGAAGGCACCAGGTTGGGAAAGACTGGTCTATACTCTTTCCGTCTGCAGAACAGGTCTGGGGAGATTCTTTAACACCAAGAAGGGAGGCTGAGCAAGCCAGTTTTACTTTAAAGTCTCTCTCTGCTGGCCACTACAGTTCTGCCCCTCCTTTCTTTATACTTAGATGGCTATGACCAACATCCTGGGTTAGGACTTTGCCAGCATCAACACAGCTGAAGTGGTAGACGATTTCATCTACCTGGGTTCCACCATAACCAGCACGCTTTCCATCAATGCTGAGCTGGACAAGCGTATTTGCAAGGGAGCTATGGCAATGGTTCTCCTCTCCAAAAGGGTATAGGAGAATGTGATGGTAATGCCCAATGCCAAGATGAAGGTCTACCAGGCTGGCATGTTGAGCATGCATCTTATAGAAGTGAGTCATGGGTGGTGGCATAGCATTTGGGGCTGAAGGGGGCTCTTGATCTCCCTTCCCCCACTTTCCTGCTTCAGCTTAAGCCCTGTTAGCTCTTCAGCTTCTGACACCTCCTCTTCCCAGTCTTCTCCCTTGGACCACTCATCGTCATCCCACCACCAAGCCCAGGGCTCTGAACTTTCTTCCCTTGGGGGTTCCCCAGCTGGTTCCTCCCACCATTCCTCTGCATCCAACCAGTCCATGACTATGGAGAGGCCTGTCTTCTTCTTTCTTTGGCGTTCACTCGTAGCCAAGTAAGATTGTTTTCCATAAACATGGTTTTAGCAGTGAGTCCGTAAGTGACTGTGGAGGCCAATTCTGGATCCACATGTCCTTCCACAGTGGGGACATTGGTTTCTGGGAGGGAGTTGATCACAGTGTGGATTTGCCTTCCTCTTGGCACGTTTCTCCCTTGCGTCCTGAGTTTGAGTGTCTTCAAAGCCCATGACACCTTTGGTAAAGGCTGTTCTCCAACTGGAGCACTCGCAGGCCAGTGTTTCCCAGTTGTCAGTGTTTATACTACATTTTTTAAAGATTTGCCTTGAGACAGTCTTTAAACCTTTTTTGTTGACCACCAGCATTGCGCTTTCCATTTTTAAGTTCGGAATAGAGGAGTTGCTTTGGAAGACGATCAACATGACCAGTCCAATGAAGATGATGTTGAAGAATCATTGCTTCAACACTGGTGATCTTTGCTTCTTCCATTACACTGATATTAGTTTGCCTGTCTTCCCAAGTGATGTGTAAAATTTTTCAGAGAAGCCTGTAGGGCTGTGTTCAGGCCCCAGGTTTGTAATCAGAAACCCCAGTCACATGGAGTGTTTTCCATGCATTTGACTGAATGCCTGAAGATCTCCCTTCAGGTCTTCTTACTCAACATGCAAAGCTCTGAAGCTGTAACCAGGATGGATAGGGATGTTGGGGCACAAATGGTCCTGCTTCTCCCTCCATCCTTTTCACAGTGATGTCTGAACAGGGCTATTGCAGAGCAGGGAAGCAGACCAGCCTGTGCTACTCAGCCACCATGTCTGAAAGTCACACATCTGATCTTATTTGTTTGTTTGTTTGTTACATTTGTACTGCCCTTCATCTGAAGACCACAGACACCAGCATGTACACATACGTGCATAATTTGCCTGTATCAACAAGCCTGCTTTTGTTTCCTACTGAGAAAGCTGCAGACTCATATGACTGGAAACTGGCACTGTTTCCCACCATTCCTTAACTATCAGATCACCATTTATAAACTTGCTTGATTACTCTTCTTGAAGGCTCACAATAAAGCCGCAGGCTGTTCCCACCTTCCTTGTCCGTTTCCATCAGGGATGATGATTACCAGTGCTGTTTCTTTTTTAAACAGAAAAGCTGCAACTCCGACCCCACAGGGAGCATGTAAAAAAATTAATGGGGCTATTGTTAAGTTTTGCCACATTCCAAATCTGTTTTGAGAAAGCTGACATTCCTCATAGCATTGCAATAATTATTCCTGAGCTGAGCCAAATCTTCTCTGAACCGAATCAATACATCAGTAATCACTGGTTAAAATCTTCCAGGTACAGAAGTGCAGTAAGTAGCAAGACTGCTGATGTGGAACATTGCCTAATAAATAGCTATCAATACTTCTGCAAAAAAAAGGGAGAGAAAAGAGATGGGGTTTCAGGATGTGAACGGGGATCCGGAACGGATCCCGTTCATAATCCAGAGGTACCACTGTAAATAGGTACCACTGCGGCAGGAAGGTAAATACTGTTTCCATGCACTCTGCTTTCCATCATGGTGTTCTGTTGCGCCAGAAGTGGTTTAGTCATGTTGGCCACATGACCCGGAAAGCTGTCTGTGGACAAACGCTGGCTCCCTTGGCCCGAAAGTGAGATGAGTGCCACAATGCCATAGTCGCCTTTGACTGGACTTAACCGTCCAGGGATTCTTTACCTTTACCTCACCTGAGACCCTTCTTGGATGAATCTGTTGCACAAACTCATCACCATAGGCTTTGCGCTAGCAGATAGAGAACATTGGGTTCATCCCTTTATGATTTGAATGTTCCCCATTCCATTTGGTTAAAGAGGTTGTGCTTTGTGATCTGTATTTCAGTGACAGAACTGCTGAGAGTGCAGCCTGGGTTCAATAAAATATTACCGAAAGACCATGTCGAAACAAATGGCATAAAATTTGAAAGCCTTCCCACTACAAATAGACATATTTTTCCCTGCTATCAGATCTGACAGTGAAAACAAATATGAAGAAAATAATTTCACTGTCTTTGTTCTTTAGTTCCATTAATCTTAATTTAAATCTGAAAGGAAAACCAAGAAGCATCAATCTCATTTTATTTCTCATAGACTCGCAGACAAGCAGCACCTTCAAAGCGTTACAATTGCTCAATCCAATTCTCCCATTCGGAGTAAAAAATGGAATGGGGTGGGGGGGGAGAGCGGAAAGGATAAAGGATAAACATTATTATTGAATCAATCTGTCATAAAACCTTCAACAAATATGCAAGAGGGGAACTGAGGTCCACATAAACTGTCTTCAGACAGCACCATCCATAGGTAGGGTCATGGTAGTGAGACCCATCTCAAACCATGTGAATCTGGTAGAATGTGTTAACAGAGCTAAGGGCTGCATGAACAGTTTGGAAATCTGGACAAATCAGACCTGACAAAGGGCCCCCCAATGTCAGGTCTGATTTGTGGGTGACAGTTTAAGATGAGCCATGAAGAAGCCAGTCATCAAGACCAAACCATGATGGCTAATGCCCATTAGGACATGCAGACTGAAAGGCAGGAAGGCCAACAGTGGGTGGAGCCATAGCAGAGCCAACTCATTTGAGTTATATTGCCATCCTCCTCCTTGCTGAGTTCCACAAGGCCAACACTGAGACTTAGGAGGAGGCAGCTGGCAAGGAGTGCCACCCCTTGGACTAGTTGTAAGTACCTGTAAGAAGGCAGGCAGGTGGGAGATGACTGAAGACTGATGGAATAGTGCCTCATTTGCCGTAATGGACCAGCCTCCACTAGTCTGAACTTACCTGAGGCATATTCCAAGCTGCTTTGAAATGCCTTTTGTGTATGGGTAATTTCTTCTGTTAGGAGTCTTTTTACTAGAGGTCTCCTACAGGTTGCTTTCCGGCAATTTCTGCTCTCTCCCCTGGCTTCATTGTCTCCTTGGCTTTCACAGTGCCATTTTGCCGAGTGGAAGGAGTGACTGGTGAACCACCAGAGCAATTGCGTGGATGGTGTGCTTGTGGGTATTGGTGGAAATGGGTGAGGTTTGGGAGAAGAATGGGATGAGCAGTGGGTATTGTGAGATTTGTGTAGAGGTAGGGCAGAGTTCAAGTGTAACATGTGGTATTTTATGAGTCAGAATGTGCCTTCAGGGAGGCTGAAGAAAGGAGGAATTCCCGGCTCTGAAGATGTTTCAAAATGTGCTGCTATATTTTTATGGATTTATTTTTTTATTGCATTATAGAGTAGTTTTATTTAAGGTTATATTGCCCTGCATTGTATCTGCAGCTCAGCCACATTGGAAGGTGCCCACTGGCAGCTGACAAGGCAGACTACCAGAAGCCAATTTGCTGAGGAATCCCTCAAAACTGATGCTGGCCCTGATTTTTTTTATTTTATCAACACCTTATTGGCATCTGTCTTGGGATACAATGGAGGAGTGCGCCTTTAGGGGTGAGGTCAAACTGTTGGAAGGTTACAGTGCCTGCTGTGGTTGTAGAGACCAATATGGAAGCGACATGTTTTATTGCAGCTTGGGCAGATGAAGGTGTCTGTTTGGGCTGATGAAGTACATTTTCAGATCACTGCCTTTATGATAATAGGATTGAAAATTTACAAAGCACAACAGATCAAGCAGATCAACAACAACAGCAATGCCTTGGTTTCCTTTTTTATTATTATTAAAGATTTTCTTGGTTTACAAAAGTATGTGCAATGTCTCTCTCTCTCTTCCCCCTCCCCCCAAGTAACAATTTTTACATATCAGTTTCATTTGTTGAGACATTAGGAAGAACCTTGGTTTCCTTAACACTGGGATGCAGAAACGTTTTTCAATCCACAGGCCACATGGACAACTTAATGCAGGCCACGTTGCATTGGCAGGATTGGAGAGCAAAGGGGCTGGAGCAGTAGGATAGCTACATTCCAGTCAAACAAAAGTCAAAAGGTTCTGTACACATACAGCTCTCTTCAACCTCCATCTAGGCAAGCAAGAGGCATTGCCTCAGTTCAAAGTGCCTCAGCACCAGGTAAAGGTGCTCAAGTAGGGTGCAAAGCTGAGCTGGCAAGAAGCATAACTTGGGGGAAAGGGGTGAGGCCCTGTGGGGAGAGTCCTGAGGGTCAGATGAAGAAGCCTCTTCTGCTTTAAACTCCCAAGCTGCTCTGAATTTGGCTCTCTTGTTCGGCTCGGATAAACGTTGCGCAACCAACAGAAAGCAGAATGGGATCGCCCTGAGAGCTGTTGTTTCTTCTGAGATTGCTGGTGTCATGTTTCCCGTTAATTACAACCTACAATGCAAAAGAGGCAAATGGCGCTAAAACTATTTGTCAGAACCAGGATGTTGTGGATAACCCTTCCCAAAACGACAAAAGACTCCATCCACTCGCAAATGGCACATTTTCAGATATATTTAAGAGATCAAAGCAGTATTTATGCACAGTGCATCCGTCATACTAACATGGATGTCCAAATCCCCAGAGATGAAAGCTTTCCTCAGAGAAATGTGCCAGGGGAACACAATTCATGAACAAATTAATGGTGGGGGTGGGGGGCAGAGGGAATATGAGACTCTGCTACTCAGTCTTAAACCTGTAACTGACTGTAGCAGATAGGTCTTTCAAGTCAGAACAGCTAAACGTCCAGATCTGCTCCATTTCTTACTTCCAGTAGCATCCTTTGCAGGTTTGCACATTTTTTTCCTTTTTCTTTTTAAAAAAGATAAACAAAGCACATGCACAGCTTTGTGCCAATATGCCCTGTCAGTTTTTAATTGACATAATTGAATCAACAAAATAGAAGGCTGGGACAAAAGGGAATGTCTACTGATATGAATGGGAAAGAGAAAAGTTACTCCTCGTATACAAATTCAAATGCATGCAGGTATGATCTACTCTGGTCTAATTCAAAGCACATCAACAGTTAAATAAGACTCAAAAGTGAACAAGGCAGTACTATTTAAATTATTTGTTGTTGTTGTTTAATCATTTAGTCGTATCCGACTCTTCATGACCCCATGGACCAGAGCACACCAGGCACTTCTGTCTTCCACTGCCTCCCACAGTTTGGTCAAACTCATGCTGGTAGCTGTCCAACCATCTCGTCCTCTGTTGTCCCCTTCTCCTTGTGCCCTCAATCTTTCCCAGCATCAGGGTCTTTTCCAGGGAGTCTTCTCTTCTCATGAGGTGGCCAAAGTGTTGGAGCCTCAGCTTCAGGATCTGTCCTTCCAGTGAGCACTCAGGGCTGATTTCCTTCAGAATGGATAGGTTTGATCTTCTTGCAGTCCATGGGACTCTCAAGAGTCTCCTCCAGCACCATAATTTCCAAGTTTGCATCTGTATTTACAAATTAGCCCATACACAATTTATGCAAGCCCAAGTTGTCTTTTGCCCTCTTTTTTATTTTATTTTCTCTTTGATTGGAAAACCGTGTCCTCTTTTTGGCCACTGAAGCCATAGTACTGCATTCCATGAGCAACTTATTCCTGGCTTCAGCGAAGTGTGAACTGCACTGCTATTACACTTTATCCCTTTTCCTTATCCACAGTGGGAGAGGAGGAAGCATAGAGTCAGTAAAAGAGATGGTGGGAAGATCAAATATGCCTGGCACTGTGATGACATTTCTCTTTCCCCTCCCCTCCAAATAACTAAAAGTAAGGTAGGTATGGAATGTCAAGGCTGGGAGACATCTTCCAATAATGTGTTTAGGCGAGGCACTGAAAATGTGGATCACTTTCAAAACAAGAGGCTACAATGTAAAAGAGGGAATCTGGTAGGCTGGCTAAGATATTCCCTTTATCAAGGTGTGCAACTAAGCACCCAACATCTGCATCTTAAAAGAGGGAGATCCATCATGACTGAGTGAGCTTCGTTGTCATAGAAACAAATAGGTGGGTCTTTTCCTCATCCCCTCTCACTTGGCTGGTAAGGAGAACAATAGCCATTGGACCTTCCTTCCAAGGAAACCGAACTCTGGGGTAAGAGTTTGGAACCCCTAGACCAGCTTTTTTCAATCTTGGGTCCCCAAATGTTGTTGAACTACAACTCCCATCATCCCTGGCTGGTGATTGGTCCTGCTGGCTAGGGGTGATGGGAGTTGTAGTCCAACAACATCTGAGGACTAAAGTTGAGAAAGTTTTCCCTAGAGTCTATCCCCACTTAATAATAATAATAATGATAAATTTTATTCATACCCCGCCCTCCCCAGCCAGAGGCTTAGGGCAGCTAACGCCAGTAAAATTACAATAAAAACATAATAGGGGAGGGAAACAATTTAAAATACAGGTTAAAAATACAATTTAAAATGCAGCCTCATTTTAATAATAGCCCATAGATCAAAACCATAAGGGGAGGGAAACATAAGGGTCAGACTGAGTCCAAACCAAAGGCCAGACGGAACAGCTCTGTCTTGCAGGCCCTGCGGAAAGATGTCAAGCCCTAGTCTCTTGTGACAGAGCGTTCCACCAAGTCGGGGCCAGTACTGAAAAGGCCCTGGCCCTAGTTGAGACCAATCTAACCACCTTGTGACTTAGGACCTCCAAAATGTTGTCATTTGTGGACCTTAAGGTCCTCCCCAGGGCATACCAGGAGAGGCGGTCCCATAGGTACGTGGGTCCTAGGCCGCATAGGGCCTTAAAGGTCAAAACTGGGGGTGAAGTCAAGCCACTGGAGAATCACAGCGATTGCAGAGACTGGTAGCTCATAACTGCTGCCTCCCATTGTTTTTGTGTTAGGGTCACTTCCAGGGCACAGGGCAGTGTGTATTGGAGGCCCTGGGCTGCCCAGATGACAAGATTCCCCTCTCAGCTTCACGGTTCTTTACAAACATGATATCACACAGTGCTTTTCAATGGAGCCAATTCACACATTCAGCTCAAACCAGTGTTGCACAGGCATACTGAATGGTGCTAACCATGTGGCAAAGTGCCATCTCTGAGACATCACAGTGCTGCTCCCCTAGTTGCACTACACCTGGTGAGGGCAGTGGGCTGCTATAAGCCACCTCAGGAATGCTGCTTATCAATCATTGATATCACAGCACTTCAAGAAACTTGAAGAGCAGGTGAGGGACAAATCAAGGAAGAAAAAGGAGTGTCACATTCTTCTAGAAAGGTCTACCTGAACAAGAACATCGAATACATGGAGTAGGCTTTGCTATCAAAAACGATCTTGTGAAGCTCTTGCCAGAAGTCCCTTCCGGCATTTATGAGCGAATTTCAACCCTTTGAATAAAACTCGCCAAAAACCAGCAGGCTACTATTCTAAGCGCTTATGCACCAACACTGAATGCCAATGAAGACATTAAAGAAAAATTTTACTCTCAGCTGGATGCCATCTAAAATTATCCTCCTGGGTGATTTTTAATGCCAGAGTTGGGTGAGATTTTGATCTGTGGCCTGGGAATATTGGGAAAGAAGGAATTGGCAACAGCAACTAGAACGGAATCTTATTTTTGACTACATGTGCAGCGCACAACCTTGCTATTACCAACACACTCTTTTGACAAAATATGGGAGAGAGAGAGGAGATCCCAGCAGACTTTAGAGATGCCAAAATTATCAATCTCTTTAAAAAAGGTGACAGAACAGATTGCGGAAACTATCGAGGCATCTCTTTATTACCAGCGGCTGGCAAAATTCTGGCAAGGATCTTAGCGAATTAACAATGTCCGAGGCTACACTTCCTGAATCCCAGAATGCTTTTAGACCTTCTGGGGGGACAGAGGACATGATTTTCACCACTCGACAGCTTCAATAAAAATGCAAAGAACAAAACCAACCCCTGTATATGGCGTTTATTGACCTGACTAAGGGGCCTTTGACACTGTAAATCGTAATGGACTGTCCTTCTGAAAATTGGCTGCCCAGATAAATTTGTGAACATCATTCAGCTCCTCTATGATAATATAACAGCAAAAATTGCAGAAAACGATGGCTCTCCAAGTGAACCATTTACAGTAGGATCAGGTGTTAAGCAGGGTTGTGTTATCACCCCAACTCTATTCATTATTTTCATTGCCATGATCCTAAACTTTGTCGACGGGAAACACCCCACTGGAGTAGAAATCATATATTGAGCAGATGGAAAGCTCTTTAATCTGAGTAGGCTGAAAGCAAAGAGTAAGGTAACCGTAACTTCTGTCACAGAGCTGCAGTATGCTGATGACAACGTAGTGTGTGCACCATAGCTGTCAACTTACAGATTTGAAAATAAGGGACCAGCAGCCTCGAAAATAAGGGATCAGCAGCCAAAATAAGGGATTTTCAGAGCACAGGTATGTTCAACTTCTGAGCCCCTCCGAGCCAAAGGCAGAAAACCCAGCTAGCAGCCAAACGAAGCCTCAAGTGGTGGTTCCCACAGCGCAGCAACCCGGCAAAGGGGATGCAGCAAGGAAAACCACCGTCACCTCTCCGCTGGGAAGCACTGAGCAAAGGCGAATCCCCGGGCAATGCGGCCAATTTGATCGGCACATGGCATGCAAGCTCCACCCCCAGTCGTTCTTAGACTCCTTATTGGGTGAGCAATGCAGCCAAGCAACACAGTTGGAGCCTCCCTCCCTGGCCAGCAGGGAGGGAGGGAGAGGAGCTGCTTCCTTTGAAACCTGGGAAATTTAAGGGACATCATCAATAAGGGACAGCAGCGGGACACAGTGCTGGGATAAGGGAGTGTCCCGCCAAATAAGGGACGGTTGACAGCTATGGTGTGCACACCTACCCATTCCTATGAACACCAACCACCGGTGAGTAGGACATCAGGCTCTACGGGATCTCCAATCACAATAGATGTATCTAGAGCATCTCACTCTTCTTCCTTGAATAAGGTCATCTCCTCCCACCCCGAAACCATGATTGGGATGGACTCTGACACCATGCTGTTGCTTATTCCAGCCACCCTTTTCCAAATATTTGGACAGCCAAAGGGATCGCGTTGCCTCGTTGTCTTGCCAAATTTCTGATGGTCTTATTTAAAAGGCTGGATGTCACTTGGTTGCCTTTAACTCCAAGTTCATCATGTTTCTCTGCTCATAAAGCCTTAATGATATGAAAATGGCTTAACACATTGCGTCCTCGAGACCACAGAAACAAATTGCTCTTTGGATGTAACAATTATTGGCTCTTTCAGACATTTATTGGCAAAACTGAGCATTACGTGATGTCCCTGCTTGATGTTTCTGTGTCCTGTGGTATAGTGAAACCATTACACGGTGTTTCACATTACTTGTCCTAGAGTAATAATAAATGTCTGAATTTGACATCCCCGCCAGATTTAAAGGGTGATATATTACTATAAGCATGGGAAACTCAAAAGACAATTTGCCCTGTTGGAAGCTTTACTGCTTGAAGTCTGTGGTTATATTTCTATAAACTGATCTTGTTTTATTAATCCTTTAGTTGGTCATCAGATGTGTCTAAACACAGTCTAAACCATTCTTTGCCAACATGGGCATGCTAGCTGATGCTATGGAAGTTGTAATCCAAAACATCCAGAGGGTACAAGGAGAGGGAACAGGGCCGTCTTTACCCTGGGGTGCAAGGGGTGCGGGGCACCTGGGTGCCAAATTGGGGGGGGCACTAGGTGCCCGCCACTGAAGTTGCCTTAGCTCTTAACTATCTACCTATTATGAAATAATAAATAATTTTGATCAAGCTAGTAAAACAAAAAACATATATACAGTGGTACCTCAGGTTACATACGCTTCAGGTTACAGACTCTGCTAACCCAGAAATAGTACCGCGGGTTAAGAACTTTGCTTCAGGATGAGAACAGAAATCATGCTCCTGCAGCAGCAGGAGGCACCATTAACTAAAGTGGTGCTTCAGGTTAAGAACAGTTTCAGGTTAAGAACAGACCTCCAGAACGAATTAAGTACTTAACCCGAAGTACCACTGTACCTAGGTATTACCAAAATGTATTCCTACTGTTTCACTAAAGGACATTCAACTTTGTGCACTCATTTACCAAAGATGCGCTGTGCCAGTAGCTACGCTTGTCATTCACGACAGTGCGTGCACGTGAAATTAACTCTTACATCAAAATATTATGTTATGTATTGTATTAAGCTGCTTTGTGACAGCAGGGTCAGAGGCACCTTTGACACCTTTGGGAGTGGCTAAACTAAATTTGGGGGCGCTGGGTGGATCTTTGCACTCCAGTGGCGTATATGCTACAGACGGCCCTGAAAGGGAAGGCTGATTCGGAGATCCAGTCCTGGATGATGCAACTTGGATGTGGTTTCTCATGTTTGGTTATCTCCATGTAAGCAGCATCATTAACACTGGACTCTTTTTTCCCCTGACGATCAGAGACAGAAACACACCCGTTAGATCATACTCTGTATTTTTTTGTCTTGAAGATGGAACTACAGGATCTTGGAAAGGAAACCTGCATAAGTGAATTTATCAAACATTGTACAATTATCCTGATTGTAATAATGTCTCATTGTACTTCGATTTTCCTTTTAAAATGAATTCATTGTTATGGCAAAAATTACAATAATTGTATTTTGGTGTATTGTATTGTTTTTGGTTTGTTTGCTTTTTTAAAAAACCACACAATTTGTTCCATTGTGAAGTCCACCTCCTTACCAAGCAATATGCATTCATGCATTGTATTTTATTTAACAGATTAACAATTATAGTAAAGAAGAAGAAAAGGAATAGTAAAAAACCCCTAAGCAGTTTATGTAATGTAAAATATACATTAAAATTATTGATAAAAATCAGAGTTAAAAATAAGTTAACCTAAAAAAAGGTTTATCAAAATACAAATAACATCACAAACCACACACCATAAAATTACATTTTAAAATACATGTAGGCTTTGCATACCTGGGGTGGCTTCCCTAAACAAAAAAGAAGCTTTTAGCAGGGACTGAAAATAGTATAGTAAAGGTGCATGCCTTATGTCAGAGGGAAAGCCGTTCCAGGGGGTAGGTGCAGCTATGCTAAAAAAATTAAAGATTGCTTACAAGTGTGGGGTGAATATTATGTGGCACTTGAAAAAGTTCCTGTTCCACAGATCAAAATGGTCAAGAGGGCAGGTATCTTGTTATTCGCACCACCTCAATCTCTGCGGGACTTGACATCTTTCCACAGGGCCTGCAAGACAGAGCTGTTCTGTCTGGCCTTTGGTTTGGTCTCAGTCTGACCCTTATGTTTTCCCTCCCCTTACAGTTTTGATCCATGGGCTACTTTTAAAATGAGGCTGCATTTTAAATTGCATTTTAACCTGTATTTTTAATTGTCCCCCCCCATTATGTTTTTGTTGTAAATTTACTGGTGTTAGCCGCCCTGAGCCTCTGGCTGCAAAATAAAATAAAAATTATAAACTAAAATATATATATATTTTTTGAAAAATGCAGTGAATTTGGCACCCTCCAATTCAGCTCACCTCTCTGCTTCTTGCTGTTCCTATGCCAGCCCAACCCCAACAGCCCTAAGCCCGGCTCTGGCTGGGGAGGGTGGGGTATAAATAAAAATTTATTATTATTATTAAGACAGATGAATGCCAGCAACAAAAAGGGCCACACATACTTGCAGGTTTTCATAATGCTGCAATCATTAAGTGAAGATGCACCTGTGAAGCTGTGGTGTACCTTTGCCCTACAGTATGATATGATACAGGGGTCACTTGGGATCAACCTGGAAAGGAGACGATTAAGTGGTATTATGCTAGCCATCTTCAAATATTTGAATTGCTGTCACATAGACAGGGGAGCAATGCTGTTTTCCGTTGCTCCAGAGGTCAGGACCTGAACTAATGGATTCAATTTACAGGGGGGATACTATTGTCCTAGCTCCTGCCCGACACACAAAGACAGAGACTCTCACTTGGAAATAAGAAAGATATCTTTATCCAGGCAAGTAATACAGGCTCAACAGCCGCCACAGGGCTCTGGAGTCATAATTCTGGAGTTGCACAGCAGAGCAAGAAGTTATTATTATTATCTGTTTATTTATACCCTACCTTTTCCCCTGACGGAATTCAGGGTGACTTAAAGATTAAAAACAAGAACTATTAAAAACATAGAAAGCACAACCATTAAAAAGCAACTAAATGCTGATAGAATTAAAGACATATATAGTGGACGCTCGGGTTGCAAATGTGATCCGTGCGGGATGCATGTTCGCAACCTAAGTCTGCATGTCTGCGCACGCGTGGGTTGTGATTCAGTGCTTCTGCGCAAGCGCGACTGCCAAAACCTGGAAGTAACCCGTTCAGGTCTGCAACCCAAAAAAAGGCAACCTGAAGCATCTGTAACCCGAGGTATGACTGTATAAAATCTGTTTAAAACATACAAATAATTACAATAAAAATAGCTTGGCACCAATCCTTGAATTAAACACAGTCAGTTCCCAAAAGCCTGTTGGAACAAAGAAGTCTTCACCTGCTAGTGAAGGGAGGAGCCAGTCTACCTTTTCTAGAGATGGAATTCCGAAGTCTAGATGCAGTAGTTCACAATTGGGAGCAGTGATGATTTCTCAACAAGCTTTCCCATCCCTCTCACCAAGCTTTTAAAGACAAGATGTGATGCACTCTCACACGAGACTCTCTTGCCTTGTGGGGAAATTGGGGTGGCAAGCGAGTTCTCTGTCAGGGCATCTGCTGTTGCCTGAAAAGGTGGAACCTGGTTCTTGGTGGCTAGGCTGCACCCCCAGCTCATTTGCTGCAGCTTCCCCTCTGGGCTCATGAAAATTCTCCCCAGCCACCACAGAGGTGGAATCTACACACATATTTAAACAAAACGCTGTGAAAATGGTTTTTTTTAAAAAAAAATTGGAAATTTATGGCTTGTGAGGCGATAAAGAAACATTTGATGAAGATGTTTTACAGGTGGTATTTAACCCCGACCAAAATATGTAAAATGTATAAAACAAAATCAAGTATGTGTTGGAGGTGTAACCAAGTAGAGGGGACGCTCCTACATATATGGTGGACTTGTGATAAAATCAAAGGCTTCTGGGATATGGGATATGAAGAGCTAAAGAAACTGTTTAAACAACATTTCATTGAGAAAACAGAAGCTTTTTTACTGGGGATACTAGACACTGATATAGCCAGAGAAAATATGAAAATATTTCTTTATGCTACAGTGACTGCGAGAACACTAACTGCTAAAAATTGGGGGGGGGGGGAGAAAGAATTCTGACAAAAAAAGAATGGCAAGATAAATTATTTGACTATATAGAATTGGCTAGAATGACAGATGCAATTAGGGGTCAGCCCAAACAAAAATTTCAGAAAGAATGAGGAAAATATAGAGACTACCTTAAAAAAGCAGTGCCCTCAAATTAATACTTGGACTTGTTTCGATTCACTTTGCAAAACAAATCATGATGTAAACGCTAAAAATAGAAAGAAAAAGGGTAAAAACGAAATAAGACGGAAACAGTTTACCAAAAATGAAAACAGAACCGTGCTGAGGATGAAGAAATTCAATTGGAAGAAAAGAAGAATTGAAACATGGTATACATACATTGTTCACTATTTGTTTTTGTAGAAGCCTTTGTATTTTACTTTGACATTGTTTTTTTTCTTTTCACGTTTGTGTTTCTTTCTGTTCTTCTGTTTTCATTTTTATGTTCAGTTTTATGAGTGTATGTGTTTGTGTTGCAAAATAAAATAAAAATTATAAACTAAAATATATTTTTTTTAAAAAAAATGCAGTGAATTTGGCACCCTCCAATTCAGCTCACCTCTCTGCTTCTTGCTGTTCCTATGCCAGCCCAACCCCAACAGCCCTGCTGAGCTCAGGACAAGGATTTTGACTAAATATGTAGAAGAACTTCCTGACAACACGTCACAAAGTGGAGCAGACTGCAGCAGTAGAGGGTAGCTTCGCCTTCATTCAATGATTTTAAGTAAAAGGATGGATCTTATCAGGAACGCTGCATTGCCAAAGGGTTGGATTGTATGGCCTTTGACGAACCTACCAACTCTATGATTCTGCGATCAAAAGCTATTTTGCTCTTTGTGCTCTCTTTAAGAAGAAGGAGTAATTTCACCAGGAGATTAATCTGATTTAATAAAGACATTTGATGGAAAAAATCTAGGGCTTGAGACATAAAAATGTCAAAGCTGGAATGGTTAATAGCCTGATCTGGGATACACTGTGACAGCTAATGAATGTAGCTATTTGGGCGGCAATCTTTAGCAAATCACTTTTTCCAGCTGGTGTTATTGAGGGAGGTTTCTTCTGCCCTCTGAGTAATGCTCCTGTTTAAAGTCTCCCTCTTTTTTCCTGCTTCTTCTTCTTCACTGCAATGTTTTCTTGCAGCAAATCAGGAAAAAAATGATCCGGGAAACGAGGGAAATATGTGTGTGAGAGTGCGTGTGTGCGTTCATGCAGGTATAGCATTGTGGCTGAGAGATCAAGGTATGCTTGAGAAGGTCATTGATCTGATTCTCACCACTGCCTACGGCAACCAGATTTACTTCAGCTTTTTCTCTTCTTCTTGTGCACACGAAAACAACAAAAAAGAACATCACCTTCCATAAAATCTCTCTGTGCTAATTTACATGTATAAATGTAAATTTAGAAATACTATAATTGACCAAAATAAAATTAAAAAATGTAATACATCACATCACAGTGTGGAACAGGAATTCTGGGATTGTATTGGCTACAACTTTACCAACTGGGCACTTTCGCAAAAGCATTTGGTACACACAGGTGAGGGCTTGAGACCCTTTTCGAATCGCTACATAGTAGACCTAGCTATGACATGAAAGGGGCAGTGTCAACAATGTATGGCAGGATACCAAACAGCTTTGTTGGCAACACAAAAGTTATCGGAACAAGACGGGAAACTGAAATAGCCCACACACCTTGCAATAATTATTTCTTCAAGCTCACCACTTCTCTGGAAAGGCTGTGGAGAACAATGCTCTTATTTTCATACTTGGTGGAAATGTACTTTGGTTAATGGCTTTTGGGTTGGGAAAAAAGTGTTTCGTCTGGCCTCCAAAATCACAATACAGTCTAATTTTTCCTAATTCGCCACTTGCCTTGTTATCCTTAGATCTAACTGCAAATTCTAATCTCAAATTTAAAGAATTAATTTCCTTCTTGTTCACAGCAGCTAGGCTTCTTCTTCTTGTTGTTGTTAATTGAATTTATATACTGTCCTATACCTGGAGGTCTCACGGTGGTTCACAGAATAGTTATTGCCCAACGATGGAAGGAAGCTTCCAATATACCAACAGTAGCTTGCGGGAGGAAGAATTCTGTGAACCACTGTTTACTCCTCACAGAAATATAGTTCACAGCACCCTTAACATACTAAAGTTTCCAAGAACCTTTTGGGGTTTTTTTAGAGGGGTGTGTGTATGCTTCAAAGCCTTGTTGTGCACACAGACTTGGTGACTGGTCCAAGGTCACCCGGTGACCTTGATGGTTGTGTGGTGATTTGACATCTTGTCTCACAGGTCCTAGGTCAACACTCTGCCCCCTAGTGCTACACTGGCTTACTGTTGCCTTCTGACCCAGTTGTAGCTTCCAAAGAGGCTCCCAATTGTGGCTTCCAACAGTTTCCCTCCATATAATAAGGACAGTAATGGAAACTGGAGACAGTGGACAGATCTTTCTTGCCCATGCGAAGGCGCAGCAGCTAACCAATAATGGGATGGTTTGATTCAACATAATGAAAATGCCGCATCAAGGAAAAGGGGGAGAAAAAGAAGTCAAAGTAATTTCTTTGCTAGCTATCAGGCATGCTTTATTAGTGCCTCATTGCCTGACCTTTGTGCCACAGCTGAATTGATTTATAAGCTTCCCCTGTCTGTGTGACACATTTTATTCGTCAACCCTACCGTTGGCCTGGTTTGTTCCCGATTAATTTATTATGGCATCATTCAATGCAGAGCAGATTTGGGAGAAAATTGATTATTGCCTTTGATGAGATGGCATGCCTGTCTCTACCCTGCTCCAGAAATGGTGAGTCATCTTTCTCTGTCAGCAAAACATCTGTAACGGAATTAGAAATGTGTGCTCAATGCTATTAGCATCAATGAATGGTGAAGATTTGTTTGCCGCTCGGCTGACACCTATTGCAGTCAGAAGAGGTACATGAAGAAGCAGGTGCCGTTATTATTTATAAAAAGTATTTTCAAAGAGCACTGTGGAGTTTTACTTAATAATGATCTGAAAGTAGGCTCCGGCTCCTGATGTGAATGTCAACTCTGCTTTGAAATACAATGTCAGTACCATGGAATCGCAGCTGCAAATTTGAAATCTGCAAATGTGAAGACCGTGATTTTTTGTGAAAGAAGAGCTGCAGTATTGCGTGAGCTCACGACTCCAAAGTCACATTGCTCACCCAGATAGGCTGCTTCGTTGCCAGCCATTGTGTGAGCATTTATTAGTGGTACATTGGTGCCAGCCATGCTTTTGAGGGAAGAGAGTTCCTAATTTGGGAGGTAAAGAAAGCGAACATCTGTGCTATCTGAAGTACAAAAGCAAAAGGCAAGTGTAAAAATAACTGAAGTTGGGAGTGCCAGAATCTAGACATAACACCAGCCTAATCCAAGAACAAATTATATGGAAGAATGAAAACAATCAAGAAGATATCGGCAGATGGTGGGATCTGGAGACAGATGATTCAATATCTCTGCAGCAGATCCATTATTTAAAGCCATTACCCACTGTCCATGTAGTCTTACGGTCACCTATTGAATAAGATCTGGAAAGTACAATCCTTTTAGAATCTGGGGGCAACATTGCCAGTTTGAAATTGGTTATTGAGCTATGTGGACACACCAAAAACGAACTTGTGTATACATACACAGAAATGCAGATAATTGCACTGCATCCCACACCACATAGCACATAGTTAAACTATGGAATTCACCCCCACAATGATGACCACCTACTTGGATGGCTTGAAAATATAATTGGACACATTCATGGTGAATAAATGATGGCTATGTTTTTCCTCCACTGTCAGAGGCAGTGTCGGAGCACACTAGGTCCCTCCCTTCAAAGCTTACACAACCTCCTTTAAAGAAGCTTCAGACAGCATTTTTATGAAGCACCTTCCCTCTTCTGTTAAACCTTGCTGCAGCCATGTTTAATGGAGGAGTGGAGGCATTTTGCAGAGCAGTTTATCAAACTGTTCAGTGAAGTGCCTTCCCTGCTCCATTAAAGAGGTTGACTGAGCAGCTGCTTGCTTACTCACGTGCCTGGCTGCTTTATGTGACACTGGAGTTGCTATGGCCATCTACTGGCAGCCACAAGAACTGCAGTGTGATGACCTCCTTACACTTGTACTTATATAGAAATATATTTATTTCTGCAGGGCTGAAATGTCCAAAGATACAAGTCACATCCATTGCTCCTCCCACTTTTGCCTCTGACCCCCACCCACTAGTGGCAGGTGGCCCCCCAAGTTTCCACAATGGAACGCAATGGACCTTTGACTGAAAAAGGTAACTCATCCCTGCTATATTTGATGAAATACATGAAGAAGTTTTGAACAGTGGCTAATACTATCTAGTTGGCAACATGCGGTGGTACCCCCCCCCCAATACAGTAGCTTCTAGAAAACAACATGCTGCAGTATTTAGCCATTGTCATTTCCCAGTTGATAGCTCATGAGATTTCACAGCATGCTTGAATTAAAATAATCACATGATGACAAAAAAAGTTTTCTTTGAGATAAAAGATGCACTTCCAAAATGGGAGTTTGAATTGCTCGTCATAATTTCTCATTCAGAAACTTGAACTGTGAAATTGGAAAACTCACCCTATTTTGAATATTAAGAGACATACATTTCCTCTCTCTTTGATAGCTTCAGGTGGTGCAACATGTGGTGCAGCACTTCTTGAAAGGGTAGATTTTCAGGACAGCATTACACCAATATCCTAGAGTATTCCCATTTATTTGACTGTCCTTCGTTTGCTCAGAATGAACCAGGAGGGTAATTCCATTTAATCTGTGTGAGAACAGAGGTAGCCCCCCCCCCACACACATGAGACCTCCCCATCATCTTGTATCTTCACCTTTCCTTCCTATTCCACAGCAGCAACTCGGCTAGTCAGGTGAGCAGTGCTGACCCACCATGCAATCCACTACTGAGCCAGAGACAATAACAGAAGCCTAGACCTTTAGAGTTTGAAGGGACCTTGGGGGTCATCTAGTCTAACTCCCTGCAATGCAGAAATCTCAACTAAAGCATCCATGTCAGGTTGCCCTCCAACCTCTGCTAAAAAACCTCAAATGAAGGAGAGTCTATCAGCTTCCAAGGTAGTCCATCCCACTGCCGAACAGCTCTTACAGTTCTTCCTAATGTTTCATAGGAATCACCTTTCTTGCTATTTGAACCTGTTGTTCTGGGTCCTATGCTCTGGAGCAGTGGAAAACAAGTTGGCTCTATGCGCCAGCCCTTTAGCTAAACCTAGACAGCATCTTAAAAAGCAGAGACATCACCTTGCCAACAAAGGTCCGTATAGTTAAAGCTATGGTTTTCCCAGTAGTGATGTGAGGAAGTGAAAGCTGGACCATAAAGAAGGCTGATCGCCAAAGAATTGATGCTTTTGAATTATGCTGCTGGAGGAGACTCTTGAGAGTCCCATGGACTGCAAGAAGATCAAACCTATCCATTCTGAAGGAAATCAGCCCTGAGTGCTCACTGGAAGGACAGATACTGAAGCTGAGGCTCCAATACTTTGGCCACCTCATGAGAAGAGAAGACTCCCTGGAAAAGACCCTGATGTTGGGAAAGATGGAGGGCACAAGGAGAAGGGGACGACAGAGGACAAGATGGTTGGACAGTGTTCTTGAAGCTACGAACATGAGTTTGACGAAACTGCGGGAGGCAGTGGAAGATAGGAGTGCCTGGCGTGCTCTGGTCCATGGAGTCACGAAGAGTCGGACACGACTAAACAACTAATCAACAACAACAACATCATCGTATCTTCTCTTAGTCTTCTCTTCTTCAGGCTATACATACCCAACTCCCTCAACCGTTCCTCATAAGGGTTGGTTATCTTGGTTGCCCTCCTCTGAACACATTCCAGCTGTGTGCTGGATGCAGTCCTCCAAGTGGGGTCTGAGCAAGGCAGAATAGAATTGTACTATTGCTATTACTTCCTTTGATCTGGACACTCTGCTACTGTTGATGCAGCCTAGAATGGCATTAGCTTTTCTTTTCTTAGTTGCATCACACTGTCATGCAACTTCAAACTGGGAGGAAAGCAACCAAGAGCCTAAGTAAAGGATTAATGCTCACAAGGGCTATAGAACTCTGTGATATCATATGCCCGGGACAGTTATTTCAGTTGGTACAGTTATGACAGTTATTAACAGTATTTCGTGTGAGAGCAGTTGTTCTGCTGTCTGCCTCAGAGGTAGCCTGTAACAGTTTTTATCTTAGATGCAAATTTATATGTAAGATATATTAGCAATGTAAGTAACACATACCTGTCTTGTATATTTAATCTAACAAGTGCAAGTACACTGGGTAAAAAGCTATTTGTTATTTAAACCTTAAAAGAGAGTGTAGTTTTCAAAGGAGGGAAAAGGGAAGAAATTAAAGGGTCAAACGACCTGGATTCTCTTCCGCATAACTCTGTAAAGCCCAATTCCCACACAAATGTGGTTGTAGGCACTGGCAGAGGTAGGAGGAAGTTTTTTCATGCTCCATGGCCAGTGGGAGACAGGAGGTAGGTGGGTGTAGGTTTGTAGATTTCTCTCTCTCCAGGCTCTGAGTAATGTAATTGTGATGGGATTATGAGCTGCTTGTGCGTAAAATCGTATTCCCTCAGAGTTTGTTCAAGTCCACAAACCTCTGTCTGTGACTGAGCCCCTCTGACATGGCTCCTCTAGTCACTAGAAGATTCCGACAGTGGTTGCTTTCGTAATCGCTTCCAACATAAAAGCTCCTTAACGGAAACACGTCTTCTGGACTCTCTGCGTGACAGTTTCCGGCGAGGAGTGGGTGTCGCTACAGGAGGTCCGGAAACCTCACCACTGTTTTCGCTGGAAGTATCTCTGAGCCATCCCCCAGCTCCTTCCCTCAGTTCAG